AGGGTTTTAAGCAGTACACTGTGCTAATCTTTTAACACAGAGGAAAAAGATACTCTCTATGCTGAGGGTTATTTTTTCCATTGTAAAATTATTGTTCATTATGATAGGTAAACTAAGTCTAAAATATTGGTCTTTCATAAACCTAACATATTAAATCTTTAATTTAGCAAGCCATTCTTGTTTTATTTTAAGGTCTAACAAGGAAGGAAGACAAATCACATTAAGATGACATATTTAGTATTGTAATTTATAACTGAGTTATATTATAAATTACACAGTTCCTGTTGTCCAGCACAAAGTCAATGTATACAAGAGATTCATCACTAACCATAGGGATATTTCTGCCTAAAGGTCAGAAAATTTCTCCCCCTATGTAAAAAGCTATTTAAAGGGAAACAATGAAAAAATCAGACTATTGGCAAAATCATTTTCCAGTTAAGACAACCTGGAACCCTCAGTTGTTTTGAAGAGGAAATATTGGTAGAGTAGCCAATTGCAGGAACTTGGGAGCTTAACAGAATGGGCTCAAATGTTTGCTCTGCTATTTTTTACTTCAGTGATCTTCAACAATTTGCTTAATTAATGTCTGTCTCAGTTTTCTCTTGTGCAGAATCGAAATGACAGTCACTAGCTAGACACTTTGTAAATCCTGCCCCAAGTGTTAAACATTATTGCTCTTTTAATACAACTAAGTTTGAAAATGATAAAACATTGCTGAGGTCTTTTTTGAAAAGTGCAGTGTGAAAGGACTGGGATAACTGGATGGCTGAAGTGGAAGAAGATAATGACGACCAAAGAAGCAAAGAGAAAGCATCAGCATGTCCAGTGAGGCCTAAGAAAGGAGCTGTGAATACCACACTCCTGAAGGTGAAAAAGAAGAGGGAAATAATAGAGAAGGTGAAGTCCTCATTCCATTGTCTCTGTGCTATATGAAGTGGATGAGGAACTGTAAGCAAAAGATCTCATAGCAGTCACTTCAAATACTGAACAGTACAGGAGACATACAATTTTGGCCTAGGTCCTTAGCCAACACTTAATAAGATATGTATGTGTTCTGATTTTATATACTGTGTTTGAGTGTGTGTGTGTGTGAGTGTGTGCATACACTGATTAAATAAATATGACTTTTTTTCACAAAAAGCCCATAGATGAAAATGCATCTTATAAAATCACATTGTTTAAAATGAAAGCTGAAGTTCAGTTTATTTTCACCATGCCAATCAACACCACCCACTAAACACCCTTATTGTGTATTCTATAAGATATGGCAGGGTTGTAATCATGATGGCTGGTTAACGAACATCCTTGAACTGAAATATCCAAATCAGTCCAAATTAATAACTACAGATATTTATTAGGCATCTATTATGCATTATGTGTTATTCTTTACATGTATTCACTTGTCACAAATGCTGTACGCCTCAAACATATCCATTTTAAAGAGACACTAATTTGTTCAAAGTCACTAAACTAGTAAGTGATAAATCTAGGCTTTAAAGACAGGGGTTCTGAAAACTGATTCTGAACCCATGACTTAACCATCTTATTACTGACACAGTTATGCATTAAGACATGCAACAAATACCCATTATGCCGTTATTGCTTTAACATTTTTTGGAAATTTTCTTGAAGAGTTGTCCACTCGATCATCCCACTTCATCACACAAGGCCACTGAGTAGGTGAAGGCTAGAACTCTATGATTCAATGGTCCCTTCCAATTCTAACAAAATATGGTACCGTGACATATGTGTTCTTAATAGCGACTCTTGAAGAAATTTGCAACCTTAACAGTTTTGTTAAAGAATAATTCAGGTGGTTCATAAATTTCTTTCAAAATCTACCGTTTTACTTATTTCTCACAAGCTCAATTTAGTCACAGCAAGAAATTAATAAGGACCATTTGCAATGTAAGCAATGACATGACAAACAACATGAAAGCAAAAGAACTTTAGCGATGTGAGCATAATGCTTAAGCAGAACCAAAGTCCTAAAGAAACGACCAGAACATGTTGAGATATTAATTAGATACACTTTTAAACAGAAGTTAATTTATGTTAAACTTCTAGTAGAGGCAATATCTTAGGAATACTTTCTGAAAAGTCTTGTTGAACACAATTCACCACTTTGAAAAGCCTGAGGAATCTATCAAAATTTTCTCATTTTCAGAAAATGTCTCAATTTTCTCATTTAAAACTGGGAATGAAAATAATGATCTTAAAACATTTGGAGGATTGCCAGATGTGGTGGTACATGCCTGTAACATAAGCACTGATGAGACTGTGGCAGGAGGATCGCCGATGAATTCGAGGCGAGTCTGGGATACATAGTTAGTTTAAAGCCAGCCTGAACTACAGCTTGAACTACTAAAATCCTGTCTTAAAAAACTATATATATGGATTAAGTATAATTCTTTTCAAGAATTGCCTAACTCATGGAAAATATTGGTATTAATACAAGGTAATTCAATATTCCTGTTTAAAATTTCCATGCCAACACTGGAAAAACCACTATAATTTGCTTCACTCTTTTCAATCTAAGGTCAAGAAGAAAAAAAAAAGTCTCACAGAATAATTGATTGGAATTGTTTTCCTGATTGCTTTCTCAGCTAATCCATTATCTGTATATAATAAAACTACTGAATTTTAAATGTTAATTGTATATCCCAGTATACAACTGAATTTATTTATCAGCTGTCAAAGTCTTTCAGTACAGTCCTTAGTGTCTTGTATGTATAGGATCGTGTCATCTGCAAATAAAGATAATTTGATTACTTCCTTACATATATGTAACCATTTTCTTTCTTGCCTAATTATCCCAGGTAAAATTTTAAGAACTACACTGCATAAGAGAAATGATTCCATGCACAATAGCTTCAAATAAAATAAAACGCTTATGGAGCAACATAACAAAAGAGTTTTAAGACACTTACAATGAAAACTTCAGAACAATAGAGAAAGAAAATGAAGAAGACACCAGAAGACAGAAAGACTTCCTATTTTCATGGATGGGTAAAATTAATGGTCAAAATTATTACATTAGCAAAAGTGATTTATATATTCAACATAATTCCCATGAAAATACCAATGAGATTTTTCACAGAACTAGAAAAAAAAACTCAAAATTCATATGAAAGCACAAAAGATCTAGAATACCAAAGCAATCTTATACAAAAAGAACAAGGCTAGATGCTTCACAATACCTGATTTAAATTATACTACAAAGACTCAGTAATAAAAACAGCCTGGTACTAGCACAAATATAGACATGCACACCAATGAAATATAATAGCAAATACAGAAAGAAACTCACACAACAACAAAAATCTGATTCTGAAAAAAGGAGCCAAAAATAATGTTTAAGAAAGATAGCCACCTTAACAAATGCTGCTGAGAGACTGCATATTCACTAAGAAGAATGAAGCTAGATCCTCTCTCTCATCCCATACAAAAATCAATTCAAAGTGGATCAAAAACCTAGGTGTAATACCTGAAATTTTGAAACTGCTAAAAGAACACATAGGAGGAAACACTTTTCGCCATGGGCACAGGCAAAGACTTCATGACTAAGACTCAATAGCTCCAGAAATGGCAAGAATCAACAAATGAGATTACATCAAATTAAAGTTTCTTTATAGAAAGGAAGGAAAACTGCAAAGTGAAAAAATAACCTACAAAAAGGGGAAAATATTACTAGCTACTCTTACAAGAGAGATTAATATTGTGAGTATTAATAAAAATTAATACCAAAAAAGCTCAATTAATAAATGAGAAAATAAATTGAACATATACTTCTTAAAAGAAGTACATATAGCTAATTATATGCAAAAAATTCTCAACATTTTAGTCACCAAAGAAATGCGAATTAAATCTGCGAGATTCCATCTCACCCCAGTAAAATGGTTATCATCAAAAATACTAAAAACAATAAATGCTGGTGAAATGTGAAGGAAAAGGAACCTTTCTACACTGCTGATGGAAATGTAAATTAGTACAGCCACTCTGGAAATCAGTATGGAGGTTCCTCAAAAACTTATAAATACAGCTAACATTTCATTCAGCTATGCCATGCCTTGATACACCGCTGAAGCAATTGAAGTCAGCATACCATGGGGATACCTGCATAGCATGCTTACTGTAGCACAATTCACAATAGCCAAGATATGGAACCAGTCCAGGTGTCCATCAAGAGATTAAAAGATAAGGAAAATGTGGTATATATTCGCAATGAAGTATTATTCAGCCATAGGGAAAAATGACATTTTGTTATTTGCATGAAAATGCATGGATCTAGAGACCATCATGATGAAAAGAATAAGCCAGATTGCAAAAGACACAAATGTCACATGTTCTTCCTAATATGTGGAATCGAATAATGATAATAATAATAATAATAATAACAACAACAACATAATAAGAAGGTAAAAAAGTGATTATTATTAGATAGGAGAGAATAAGAGCGGGGGAGAGGTGGTCAAGGGTGAGTAATGAGGAGATGGATATGAGCAGAATATGTCACATGCATTGAAGCCCCCCATAAAATATGAAAGTAGCAGGGAAGCAGGGAAATGGGGAGTGGGGATGAGAATGATCACAGTACATTATGCATATGCATGAGTCTGCCAACTGAAACCCATTGATCTGTATACCCAATTAAAAACTAAAATGAATGTACAGACAAATCTTACTAAATGCTCTCTAAAATTATAGGAATTCAGGTACAAGATCATGTAAACTAAAGCTATGAATGAAGAAATCTAAGCAACAACAAAGTGAGAAGCACTATGCACTGAACAATAGTAAAATCAATGATTAGAAACCTTAAAATTATACAACTTAATTCAAACTAACAAATACCTTATCTTTAACTTTTGCATACATTTTCCCTCAATATTCACAAATATGAGGAACTACAAACAGGAATTTGTTCATTTATGACTGCCTACCAAATGCATTCTGCATGGTTGCAATTGATTGGAAAAATAAAAATACATATTACTTACTATATGTGATGTGTGGCAATTTTAAAATGGTTTGAAAACATTCATCCTCAAAGTACTACTATAAAATGGATCTGTGGAAGAAGAAAAAATAAAAAAGAGAAAGCAATTTACCAAGGTCATGGAAAAACTAATCCAGATCAACACACATTTAGACATTATATACTTTAATTAAAAAAAAAAAGGTTTGCAAAATATAAATTATACATCTAGCAAAGTATAATGCACTGATGAACAGAAATATCCCCAATTATATGCAAACATCCTAAACACCAGTCTAAGAATATATTCATAAGTAAAATGTAAGAAAAGTTTACACATTGGCTTCATTATTATATATAAATACAGAGTACTCAAAGAATATCACAGAACAACATAAAAGCAATTCAAAGACATGGCAGGCATACAAGTAAACTTAGTTGGAGATCTTAGGTGAGAATTCAAACATTGCAAGTGTTTAAAATGTCCTTTTGTCCTACAGATGAAGATCAGAGTTAGAAGACAATTCTGCTTGATTTATCTAGATAATTGCGCCAATATACTTTATAATTGCATTTCAATTCTAATTGAAATCATGCACTGAGAGAAATGCAGCCATGCTGCTTGCACACCTCACCCAAATACACAAATTAATCTAGTCTCTGTTTTCCATAAAGTCAATGTAAGTATAAGGAGAAAGTGATTTGATAGGGCTTTATTAATTAATCTGTTCCTTTTAGAGGACAGGAACTGGAAGAATACATAACCTTTGAAGCTCAAAAGATTTCAATTAAAATGGATTTTATGCTACACTGTTCTTTTGTTCAAAAGAAACAAAATATAACTTAATGAAAATAATATGTAACCCTTTGAATTACAGTTATTTCAGACAAATCAGACATGCTATAGACAATCAAATAAATATTGCATAAATAGTACATTTAGAGGAATATTAGTTCTCAGTGATCAACTAAATTTCTGCCCAGAGAGAATTAGGACTTTCTTATGCTAAGCAGAAATACCAGTTTATTAATATAGGGTTAGTGGTTTTGTGTTCAACAATACCTATTATAACCAACAGTCAAACAAGCATCTTCAGTAGGTCTTAATTTATCTTCCTCAAGTGAGAGGAATCCACTGGTGGTATCTGTCTCTAACTGGCCCATTAGTGACTGATTATATTGCCCCTCTACACAGAGTGTTCCAAACAAGAGGAAATCAAATATACTAAGCAAGCTTAGAGCTAAATGGCAAAAATAAATCAAGAAATTCCCTAGAAACTAGATAATTTTGATATAATCTTAATTTTCTAATTTTAAAACAGAATTTAATAGGAGAAACAAATTCATCTTCACAAAAATTTTCCATAGAATTATTAAGCTTCAGCAATTATCAGATCCATTTACTTCTCAAACACAAGAGGACTAACTTGAACCCTGATCATGTAACATTCCCACCTTGGCACAAATAATAGAAACTCAGCCTGGATTCAGAACCAGCTTTTCTGACCAGGGCTTCATCTTATAACAACACTGCTATATAGCTTAGAGCCAAGGTTACAAACTAGGGAAATAAAAAGCAAATCTAGCCAATGACATTTTTCATAGAATCAGAAAAACAATCTTAAAATTTGTATGGAAATACACACAAAAAATGCAAAAGCAATCTTGAACAAAAAGAATAAAGGAAGAGTTATTACACTACATGACTTCAAAATAAATCACAAAACTGTAGTAATGAAAGTACTCAAAACAGTATGGTATTTATTTTAAAAACCAGATATATACATGAATAGAACAAAATCACCCAGAGGTATGCCCATGTTCCTACCGCCAAATGATTGTGAGCATTGTAAGAACACAATAAAAACAATATTTCAATAAAAACTGTTGAAAAAATTGAGTATCTATAGGCAAAAGAATGAACATCCTATTCCTCAACAGCTACCAAAACCAACTTAGGCTTACTGTAAGATCTAAAACTATAATGCTACTAGAAGAAAAGACAAGGGGAAATGTTTCAGGACACTGATAGGAGCAAATCCCCAAAAGCAGAAGAAACCAAAGCCAAAAGAGACCAACTGGACTTAATCAAACTAAAAAGATTCTGCACAGGACAAAAAACAAATCAACACAGTGAAGAGACAACCTACAGAATTAGAGAAAATATTTGCAAGCTACATGTCTAAGAAGATGTTAATATCCAGAATATATAAGGAATTCTAAAAACTCAGTAACAATGACAAAAAAATCAATTAAAATGGGTAACAGACCTAAAAAGACACTTCACAAAAGATTTACAAATGACCAAGAAATAAATAAAAAATAAACAATATCACTAAGCATAACAGAAACATATATCAAAACAATAATTAAGATATCACCTCCAACAGTAGCTATTATTAAAAAAAAACCAAAAAACTAAAGATAACAAGTGATGTCAAGGATGTGGAGAAAAGAGAACACTTGTCCACTGTTACAGCTACCACAGAAAAGAGTGCAGAAGTGCCTCAAAAATTAAAAGCACAACTACCAAATGATCCAGCAATTCCACTACTGGGTAGATATCCAAAGAAAATGAAATCAGTATGCAAAACAAATATCTGCATTCCCATGTTAATTTCAGGCCTATTCACAAAGCCAAGAAATGGGAAAAAAAATTAAGTGGCTGTCAGCTGATGAATAAATTTTTAAAATGTGGTGTATACTGTAATACACAATGAAATGGTATTCAGCCATTAAAAAGAATGAAATCTGGTGACTTGCAAGATTATAGAACTGGAAAATATAAGTGAAATAAGCCAGGCAAAGATAGACAAGCACATGATCTATTATACCTTTTAGTTCATATTTACATTTTCAGTTTCTCATACTAGCGAAACCGTTAGGTATTTACATATGTGTGTCCTATTTATTTCACTTAAGAGTATTACCTCAAGAGCTGGGGATTTAGCTGAGTGGTTCTGCTGCCCCCATCACAAGCACAAGGTCCTGAGTTCAATCCCCAAGTAAAAAAGCGGGTGAGGTATTGAGAAAAGAGCTGCACAAGCACACAACCTTCATCCAGAGTTCTGCCATATGATCCAGAAATGTGAGAACATCCCAAGGAGCAGCTGTGTGGATCAGAGTAGCACAGGTACATCAGGACCCAGCTGGGGCATCGCCCCAACCTTTGAGATGCAGGCAAATGTGCCCAAGCCATAGCTTGCCTAGAAAGAACTGCACAAGGATGTAACCTTCATCCAGAGTTCCAGCATACCATCGGTAAATGCACACACATCACAGAGAGCAACTGTGTGGACCAGAATGACACAGCTGCAAGCAGGTCCTAGTTAGGGTTCTGGGCCGCCCCAACCCAGAGGTGCAGGCACATGTGCGTAATACGCAGCCCAACAAGAAAAAAGCTGCATAGGCACACAAGCTTCATCCAGTCCTGCCATACCATTGGCCACAGCCAAGGGCCCACAAGGAAAAGAACTACACAGACACACAAAGGCCAGAGGCTCACCCTGATATCATTGACTAGTGCCTGAATACCCTTGCCAGAAGCTTACAAGACCATGGGAACTGGGATACACAGCCCCCAGCCAAAGGCCCACCCAAACAACAACTAGACAATGGCCACAGCCACAGGAACACCTAGATAGCATTCCAAGTATGCACAGGCCCCAGCCTGAAGCCCACCAAGACAACAGGTCAGCTCAGGGATATAGAAGGCCACCTTTCTAAACCCAGGAATTGGTATACTGGGGAGCAGCAGAGTAAAGGCTGCTCAGTGGCCTGCTGAGAATTAAAGACTACCGGGTAAACAAAAAGTTCCTTCAACAAAGGTACAGCAGACTGCATCTGTTGAAATGAGAAGACACAGAAATAAGTCTCAAAACCAGACTTCCAGATCACCTAAGGCAACCCCAAAGGGCAATGAGATGGAACAATCTGATACCCAACCACCTGGACTCCCTGAACTGGCAGCAAAAGAGGACCTGCAAAAAATGAAATCAAAAATAATTTCTCAGATAACAGTGGAGATTGTCCCCATACTATAAGACATGATTAATAAATCTAGAGTGGACACAGATTTAAAAAATAAAGGAGCTGAGAAACATGATGGAATAATAGCACAGGAAACAAATGGAATCCATAAAACAGATGTAAACAGATTTCCAAGAGATTAAAAATTCCATTGAAAGTTTACATAGCAGAACAAATCAATGCAAGGACAGAATTTAAGAAATGGAAGACAGGATTGCAATTAGTGATCAGGAAAAGAAAAATCTTTTAAAAATAGTAAGGGACCATGAGAGATCAATCCAGCAGCTGCTAGATGGTTCAAAGAAGAATAGCATAAGAGTGATTGAAGTCAATGAAGAAACAGCAGAGAGTGTAGATAACATAAAAAATCTTTTCACAGAGTAGTTACAAAAAACTTCCCAAATAGGAAAAAGAACTTCACATACAGATAATTGAGGCTTATAGGGCTCCAACATAAAAAAAAAAAAAATCTACACATAGGCATATAATAGTTAAGATTCCAGAAACCCAACAGAAAAATAAAATAAAATTCTACAAGCAGTTAGAGAAAAGAAATAAATCAAACACATAGCAAAGCCTAGCAGAATCACAGCAGACTTCTCAAGGCAAACCTACAAGGCAAGAAGAGCATGGAGAGACATATTTCAAAGCCTAAAGGAAAACAACCTCCAACCCAGACTGATGTACCCTGCAAAACTATCTTTCAAAATTGATGAAGAAATAAGATAACTTTCATGACAAAGAACACCTTGGGAACATCAGGATTACTAAACCAGCACTCCAAAAATTTTTAAACAATATCCTAGGAAAAGAGAATGAGGATCACAACCCCAAGAAGTCCAGAAGAATGACTCAATCAGGCACGACAAGAAATTACATACAAAGGGGGAAAAATCCAACAAAAAGAAAAAGTCATGACAAGGATAAGTCAATGCATAGCAGTTGTAACCATCAATGTTAATGGTCTCAATTCACCAATCAAAAGAAATAGACTGACAGAATGAGCCAAGAAGCAAGATCCAACAATATTGCTACACGCAAGAAATGCACTTAATTCAAAAAGA